ATAACAGAAACTAGGTACTGATGAAGACATGCAGGAGGAGTGTGTCTTGTTTTTTAGATGCTCAGCTGATGATCTGTTTATGTATCAGAATGGAATTAATCTTGTAAATTAATAAGTCTATCAGGTTAAATTTATTTAATTACATATTTAATTTTAAATAACAAAAACTACAAATGAGCCAAGCACTTTGAAAAGGGACATTCAGAGTATAGAGTAACGTAGAGTCTGAACATGAATGTTTAAGCTGTTAACATTGACTCTTCTTTCCTCAGCGTCCTCGCAGCAATGCAAATTCTGGTATAGAAGTGCCCTGCCCACTGCCCAATTTCACCCCGTATGTGGAAGAATCAGCTCAGCAACAAGTTATGTGAGTCTTCAGTTTGAAATGGGGGTTGCATTGAAATTCTCAAAGCTGCTTTGTAAGGTTCTGACTTGTTTTGCCAAGTAGTCAAACCTCCACACCTACAAGAATGTAAAAAAAAAAAAAAAACCTGTCAACATGGAAGCTCTTAGTACTTTTGCTTGATGGCAAGGTTTCAGTGGAGGATGCATAAGGACATGGGAAGTATTTGACTATTGGTGCTCGTTATGTGGGACTCATCATATTTATAGATGCTGAGTAGTTTAATAACTTAATTCTGTACGTTTACACAAAAACGCTGTTACCTCTCTTGGAATGCTGTTTTCGATAAAAGTAGCCATGAATTGAGTCAGGCTTATTGCTGTTTTCTTCTATTTTGGGAACTCTATAGGATTCTATCTGGAGTTTTATTCTGAAACAAGCTATCAGTTTCCATGACGACAGTGTTGCTCAGGTTATCGAGGAATATGCTGTTTTGCCTGAAATTACCTTTCTGCTTGTACTGTGCTCACTGAAATGCTGATAAATCCCAGGAGATGGGATTGCTCTGTTTTGTTACAGCAAAGGAAAACACATTATTTTTGCAAAGCTGCTTAACTTTCTTATTCTGTGGCTAACGATGGCCATAGAAAGCATAGGCTCTTCCTAAGACAGAAGTGGAAAAGAATGTTTGATATTAGACAGCTTCCTTGCTCTGAATTGCATATAATCAAAGAATGCTGAAAGGTGGCTAACAGCATGGATTTTTCCTGTGGGTTTTGCATGTTGCATGTGGACTGCAGACTAGCTCTGACCAAGGACATATCATAATTTAGTTTAAGAATATGTAAAAAATTAATTTTCTGTCTAGTTAGAAGACTATTTCTTGCTTCTGAAAGTCAGTGATTTCATGGAATTAGGTCTCTTGATGTGCTGGTCTCTCTTAGGTGAAGACATATTATTTACAGAAGGCAGCATCATTTTCTACCAGGGAAAAGGAAGGAATGGGTGGGAACTGAACATGCTAAATTAGCTTTAAGCAATTTGAGCAGAGAGTTTGTACATAGTTTAATATTATGTAGTTGAAAATTTAAAAGTAGGTATTTTTTTTCTGCCTTCAAGTCCATTTTCCCATGATGCCATGGTCATCAACCAAATCAAGTGTGAAGGTGTTGCCTTGAAACTGTATAAATATGCTACAAATCATGCCATCAGTTGTCATCTGGAGATTTGGGTAGAAGGACCCTGTAGTGATCTTGGTAATAAGCCCCCATCCCCCAAAAGAGAGCTTTACGAAACCCCAACCATGAGAAGCACCTGTTTGCCTCATAATCTCCCAGGTGGTCTTAGGGTTGTGAGTCCAATCACATGCAAAACAAAACAGCTATCTTGAAACTGTGCGCTGAATTTTCTTTTGAACTAACTGTTTACCCACATACCAGTTAACGTGCTTTTTTTTTTTTCAAGGTCAGTTGTTCAGATCATCTTTTATTAAGGTACAGATAATTGTTGGAGTCATCTGGATTACTGGTATCTGGAAAACTGTACAAATTCTGGTTCCTGTGTCCTGAAATTAGCATGTAGCGCTTCCAGAAAGCACGTTCAAGCTAAGAAACAGACTGCTACTGACTCCTTTACAGTGATTTTTTTTTTCAGTGTGTTTTTTATTTGTGTTTTTTTTTTTAATAGGACACTTAAATTTTTTTTTTTTTGATTACACAGTTCTGAGTTGGTATGCTTGCCTTTTAGGTGCTATCATTCCATTTTTCTTGTTTGTTTTTTCCATCACAGAACAGAATGTCTTTAGACTATTCTACATCTAGGTTCTGAAATTAGTTATTTTCTCTCCTATGCTTGCTTTTCTCTGTTACAGTGAAGCACATATAATCAAAGTAATAACTGCATGTTTTTCCAGGACTCCCTGCAAAATTGAACCCAGCATAAACCGTGTTCTAAGTGCTCGCAAACCTGAGAAAGAGGAGGATCCACTACAGCGAGTGCAGAGTCATCAGCAGGGTACTCAAGAAAAGAAAGAGGTGGTGATGTACTGTAAAGATAAAGTTTATGCTGGAGTCGAAGAATTTTCTTTGGAAGAGATCAGAGCTGAGATCTACAGAAAGCAAGCAAAAAAGAAAACCGAAGGTATGCTTGAAAATGGGATGACAAAGTTTTCTGAGATGGAATCATAAAATTATACTTGCTTCCTATCAGCATATAGCTGTCAGTTATTGCAGCTATTTTTCTTTCTTTCTACTGGAATAGTTATTCAACTGCTCTGAGGTATAGAGGAAGTAACATATCTGGCAGCTTTACATGTAGGCTGTGAAAAGGGGAAAGAAGACCAGAGGTTTTAGCCCCTTTAAAAATAATGCAGGCTTTAGCCACAGATTGCATGTGAAATATGCATTGTGCCTTAAAAGCTTTTCTTCCCTAGAGGAGATGCAGGCCATAGCACAGAAAAAGGAAGAAATACAAAGGAAAATTGAGGAGCTGGAGAAGAAATTAAAGAAGAAGGAAGACGACAAGCAGCAACAACCGTGTGAACAGGTATTGTCCTAGTTTAACTGCTCTTTTACAAATAGCTACTATCTTAAGTAAAAGTACCAAAGGAGGAATAATATCTAATAAGTTTCTCTTCAGCTAATGCTTCTAAACCTTTTTTTGAAAGGATGCTTCAGCCTATGGTACACATACATCACCCAGTAAATGAATGCTCAGAGACATATTTCTTTTCTTCTCCCTGGCTTGCCCCCAAGCCATATAATTTCACTGTAGGAATGCAAATCAAGGACTTCAAGTTTCATAGTGTTACAAGTATTGATAAGTTATTTTACTTGGGAAAACAGATGTCGTAATTCTGAACATCATCCCTGCCCCCCCCCCCGCCGGCCCAGCTTCCTCCAGATTTCATTGCTGAGCATGATGTAATATGGTGTGGAATACCTTTTGGTCAGTTTACATCAGCTGTCAGAGCTATGTCCCCTCCCAACTTGTGTGCCCCCAGCCTACTCACTGGTGGGGCAGCATGAGGAATGGAAGACCTTGATGCTGTGTAAGCACTGTTCAGCAATAGCCAAAACACCAGTGTGTTATGAATGTTGTTTTGGTCAAAAATCCAAAACATGGCACCATACCAGCTACTATGAAGAAAATTTACTCTATTCCAGCTAACACCAGTACACAAAGCCATATGATTTGTCCCTAAGTTTTATAGGGAGTAGTATGCTCTATTATGTATTAGATTTTTTTTTCCTTTTCTACATAGACCAGTCTTCAGCAGAGTAACTTCCAAGCAAATATATTTTTGTCTGTCATTGCTAGGTAGTGTTTAAACCCCTGTTTTCTTGTAAGTTGCAAATAACAAGTGAAAAGTAATTATTTTAAAGCTTTTCCTTTTCCCAATTTCATCAGTTGAGCTAATAACGTATGCATGCATGCTCTCTTTCCTCCTTCCCCATTTCCAAAACAATGCCTTAGTAGTAAATATCTTAAATAATGAAATACAAAGTGTTGTGAATTTGCTGTAAGCTATGTAATTTCTTACATATGCCTTTAATAGTTGCAATATAACTAAAATCTCCTATGAAAGTTATATACAGTTGTAAAGAGTAAAATTATGCATTTTAACTACACTAAAAAATAAGAATGGACTTTTTTCATGCAAGTAAACTAAGTACAAATAAAAATGTCTAAAGACAATTATTAATCCATTAGGGCTCTAATGACCTACACAGGTTTATTATAATGTTCTTGGAACCTTGTTGCATGGCTTGTGATTCCATCACTGTAGAACCAAAATATGGTTTTGTTTCTACAGCCAACAGAGATAACAGAAGCTTCACCGCCTTTGGGATTGCAAGGATTTACTTTTTCAAGTGCAACAGAAGTTGGGGAGAAACAGCCTCAGTTACAAAGGTAATACAGGACTTTCTTTGCTAGCAATGAGAGAATTTGTGGGATAATTAGGTATAGGTAACACGGATCACTAACAGATACCCTGTTTCTGCAGAGAATGGAATATACCCCTAGGCATCAGCCTGTAACCAGGATCTGTAATCTGTCCCTATATAATTTCAATTATCTGTCTGAGGGATCTTAACTTCTTACAAGTAGCATATGTCAGCTTGGCTTACCTTTTTTACAAAATTTGCTTATGTTTTGTGAAGGTGTGTAAAATATAAGAATCAAGTTTGTATCTTTTTCACAGTGAATGCCCAGTCTCTAAATATACTCAACTACATAAACCACCCTGTTCTGAGGGTAAGTATTTAAATTTTTTACCATTAAGGAGAAGGCCGTGTTGAAGGGAAGTGTTCTTTTGTATAAATAGCAAGACTGCAACAAACTAAAACCAAAAGCCTAGGTGAATTAGAAGAATGAAAATGAGAATGTGGTAGTGTTGAGTGCTTTTAACCATATTCAGCAAAAGACTGAGCATCTGAGGTCTGAGAACTGTCATTATTTGAAAGGCCTTTCAAGCAGAAGAGCTTTTTTCCTTTTAATAGCTGAAGAGCTTTCTTCACACTTTCATGTATGCAGTCTTACTAAAATCTGTAAAAGAGTTTAACACATTAAGTTTGAGGACAAAGAAGGCCTTAAGATAGTATCAGAGGATTTGGTAGAGGAATACAGTCAGACTTAATATATTGTCGTGTTGTTGGTAAGGCTGTGTGCTGAAGAAACTTACTTTTGACCCAAATTGACTACTGTTACTGTTGACAGAGGTTATCCAGTCTTGTGATGTATGCCCAGATACACAGAGGGGAAGTGTTTTTGTAGAGTCTGAGGATGAACAGGAGGAACAGAGAGATGAGGCCAGCCTTGGGAAAAAAGGTACAAATTCAGAAACATATTCTAAAAAGAGCAAGCTAGCTAATGTAATATGGTGGTAAAAGTGTGGTTCATTAACATGACAAAATGAAGCCTTTTAAAACAGTTTTCTTTAAATGTCAGTTCTGTAACTTCCTGCTAGGACTGGTATTTTTAAGGCTGTGTATTAAACATTTTAAGTAACATTGGATATGCTGTTTGGAAAAACTGTTGATAGAGCCTCTTTGTTTTTTCTTTACAGATGTAGGTCTCCTTCCCCCACCGGATCCTGCTACGTTTTTCTCCATATTTGATGAATCCTCTACTTCAACAAATCAGAATAAAAGGTTGAATTATTCAAGACCTAGATTTCAGAGGGAGGGGAAACTGAAGTATCAGATCACGTTCTGTAGCAGCTAAAATACAGTACTGCTTCTTGTATGGATGTGGGGTGGTTTTTAATTTTGTTTTTATTTTTTGTTTTATTTCATTACTCTACTTGTGAAGTCCATGATGAGGAACAACAGAACATTTCCTCCTAAATCTAGAATTATTTAAGCTGCCATATAAACTCTCTTTATTCTGAAGAACTGTATATATTGCAGATTACTGGTAGTTCTGTAGTAAAACGTGGTAGATTGAAATTGTCAGTAGACTTAAACTCTTGAGAGGAATGTCTGCTGGAGATCGGAAGCTACCTTAATAAATATTTAATGCAATGTAACTATCTTAGTTGTTCTGCAGATCATACACAGAAAAGTGCCTGTCGCCCTCTTGCTGTTCGTAAACCTTCAGATTCTCTAACTGCAAAGGAAAACATACCACCAGAAGCCTGTGTAAGGAAACAGTTTATACCATAGCAGATTTCCTGTCAAGGAGAAACCAACATAAAATGTCCTACTGTTGAACTGAGTGAGATTGGCTGGAATGACATGGTGTGAGATAAGCAAGGATTCTAAACTTCTGTCTGGCATGTCAATATTTGAATTGGGTGATGTTAAGATTACACTGGAAATTTTGATGTTTTTAATAGGTTTTAAGGTGGCCAATATGGAGATGATGGTAAGGAGTCGTCCAAATTTTAAGCAACTGATTAGTGGCCGCTCTGAAACTTTAAAAAAGTTGTGTAATGAAGAGTTGTACTCTTAAATGCTGCCTCCTGCTCATCCACTTGCCACACATCCAAACAAGCATCTCAGCTCCTATGTTCCTCACCTGAAGTACCTTACACTTGACTCCCTTAAACCTTTGTATCTTGTTTCCTAAGCTGTGTGTCTTTATGTGGCAGTTTTGCAGATGTTTGTAAAGCTTTCAACAGAGGTGGTAGTTGATACCTCACCAAAGGACTTAGTTACTGCATGCTGCCATAGACCTTTAGACTGGTTGAGTGAGAGGATTTTATTCTGAGCTGAGAACCATTTTATGTACAGCTACAATATGAAATACTTAGCAGGGGTTAAGCATGGTAAACATTATGCTGATTCTGGTTCTAGAGTCAGTCTGGATAACTGCATAGTGCTGCTTTACATGGCCTATGTGTCTTCAATGCCCAACATTTTAGTAAACACTTTAATAATGTACTCATACCTGAACTGAAATGTACTTCTGGAGTGGTAGATACTAAATAGCCTTTAAGTGTTCATGGCTGCTCTACAGCACTCTGGAGGGTAACAAAGCTCTGCTTTCTAGTTGGAAAAAATATATGCAACTATATTACAGTTAGGGTTCAATTACTCGATTTGAATGAACAATATAAGTAGCGTACATGAAGACTGTCAGATTCATGTTGGAAGATGGTGGGGTGGAAAAAAGGGGAGAGAAATGTTCAGCTTTTAAGTACATTTTAAAAAGATGACATAAAATCTACAAGCTTTTCACTGTCTTTTCCTGCTTTTTTCAGGATGAGCTGAATGGAATTGAACCTTTAACTGAAGATGCGATTGTGACCGGCTCCTACAAGAACAAAACCCTTTGTGCCAACCCAGAAGACACGTGTGACTTTGTTAGGGCTGCCCATCTGGCCTCAACACCCTTTCATGGGGTGGTAGCTCAGAGAGTCCCAGCTCCTGCTTTTTCACAGAGTGTCCTGAAGGAAGACTGTCCAGAATCTAAGAGTGCACCTCTGAATCAGGGAACACCCGTTTGTGAAGGAGTGTACAATGAAGCTCTTTGTGTAAATAAACTGAGGTAATTAACAACAAAGTATCTTAAGCCCCTTTTCCTGTGTATCTTTCATTGGTTGTGGTTTTACTATTCTGTTGCTGAAGAAACAGTTTTCTGAAGCGATCACAATGCACTGAAGACAGCCATTTCTCTAGCTCGCGGTCCATTTTGTCTTGAGCAGATTTAAGATGTAATAGCAAGCCCACTTGGCTTTTTAGCATTACTGCTGTGGGACTTAACTCCATGCTTTTTCTACCAAATAACTTGCAAAGAAATTCACACTCTGTCTTTGTAACTAGAGATGAAAAGTAGAATCATCAGTTCCTTTTATACTTGTATGCTTCTGTAGTTATTTTAGTATATAAAATGCATCTGGTGATTATGGCTTAGGTTCGTTCTGCAGAGCAGAAAAGCTGGAGAGAAGAAAAAAACCTGGCAAACAACCTCCTGTTTCTTATAATGGATGCTTCTTTCTTTACAATGATATCAGGGTCTCTTAATTTAAAACTGAGTTTGATTTGCTACCTGTTAGTATGTAAACATGTAAACCATGCTAGAAGGTGTTTGTTTACTTGACAAGTTTCCTGGGAAACCATGCTGATTATAATTAAGAGGGAAGAGCAAGAGTTATTTCCCACCTAACCCTCTGCTTCTTTAAAAGTACTGTAGGTCTGAATTTTAGTAGCTAAGGGAGTAATAAATATTCAGTATATCTTCTGTTGTAGCAGTCATATATAATGGAAGAGAAGATAAATTTTGTCTGTAGACTAAGATTCTGAGTATAAACAATCATTGAAGCTAAAATGAAGCCCTGACATAACTGTCGATTTTTCACTAAAGATGGGAGAGGACTTCTTTTAACATAAAGAAGTCTGGAGTGCACAGCATGCTTTCATAGTCACTAGGCTGGCATTATCTAAACACTGTATCTTCTGAAAGTCTGAATAGTTGATGACTTTATTTACAGCCCAATCATGGAAGCAAGCCTGGAAGATACTCGCTCATCAGGTTCTTCAGTGTCCTCAGGATCTTCTCTTTCCTCTGTTACACAAATATCTACTATTAAATACCTGCATATCCCTGAGAAACTGGAACTTGCTCAGAGCTTGCCTGCTGAAACAGTTACTGATTCAGGAGGTATCAGTGAAAACGCTACTGGTTAGTATTAACTAAGTTTCACTCACAACAAATAACTATTTTTTGTTATAGACAAAACTAACATAAAACTATGTAGTAGGAGGTAAAGCCATTAAATTCTTAATATTGCAGTGACCAGCAGAGTTGGAGTCCAACTTTGTTTTCCTTTTCTTAAATAAAACACCTGCTATATTCAACGGAGTGAATTTCAGTAAAACGCTTCATTTAAAAATCACAAACAGATCACTTACTCTGGACATAGATTTAAAAAAGGAGTGCTAATTTGCAAAATGAGTTTGAATTCTCAAATAACTTGCAGCTGACACTAAACTATGGTGCTTTTTTTGTACCTCCTATATTCTACTGTTTCTGTGTGTTTCCCATTATTTTGACTTGTGACTAAACTTGTGTCTCCCTTGTCAGAAGTTGTAGTGAGGTATACAATATAGCATGCTTGTCAGCATCCAAAAGATGTAAATATTGAGGTGATGGAGAAGTTATTTAAGCTATTAAAGCAGGGAGTGTATAGGAGTAATGAGGTCAAATTCTGAAATGAAAAATTCCATGGATGGTAGTGAAAACTTCTAAGACACCTTTGTTTTGTTTTGTTTTCATTTTTTTCTCTCTGTAATCATACTATGTGTTCTCCTGATGTGCTGATAAGTGCCATGTTGAAAAAGGTGAATATGAATTTGAAATCTAGTGAAAGTTGCATGATTTTGGTTTTAAATTTGTACTCTCAACTTTGCTGTAAACTGTTGTGCTGCTTTGCAGTATGTTTCTTTTTTTGACTGAAGGAAAACAATACTGGTATTTAAATAGATATTTTTTTTTCTTCTAGCCAAAGTCCTTTGTTTCTCTCTGTTAAAAATCTTTATATTATCGTTAGAACAGGAATGGTCACAAAAAGCCTTCAAAACCTGGCCTGTAAAATTAGGTTTGTGTTGAATGACCATTTTCAAGGTGTCTAACCTGCTTTAACTCCTTTGGTTTCGGTTTATGGTATTTTAATTAGAATTGCATATCTGAAAATTCTCGGTGTATCTACTCTAGAGAAGAATAGGTTGTTGTGTGTCTGAAGACTGTTTTATGATGAAGCATGCTTGGGACCTGGAATGAAAATACAATTTGGAGAAGAGTGTTGTCACTGAAGTAGTTGAAATATTTGTGATAGATCTCATACTCCTTTTTTATCATATGCAGTAATCTGTAGAGCAGGATGAAGAAACTTTACAGATTCTTCCCAGAAAGGCATTTGTTCAGATGTTTTAATGGTCCTTTCTTAAATTTTTTATCATTCCCGTTGCTGCTTTTCTTGCTTTCTGCCCATCTCCTTTGAACTGCAGTTCTCAACCTGGATGTAGTAATTTTATTGAGGACTCCTTAATGCTGCATAGAGCAGAAAAATTACTTCAGATGTCTGTCAGCTTATTCCTTAAAATATGCCAGTAAATTTAATAGGTTTGTGACAGTAAAACATTGGAACACCTATTTAGCCTTCAACCTACAATGTTTCCTGGATGTACTTTCACGGAATGACTTCCTGACCAATATCTTACTCATTTATTTGAAAAGCAATGCAGTATAACAGTAGGTAATGATACTCCAATTCTTACCTTTGTACTGTGAAAGCTTAAAATGTTGCCATCCATTAGTAGTCACAGTCTATTGGAGAAGTAGTCAGTAGAAGCCATTTAGTTCTGCTGTGTTTTACTCTGCCTGATCATTTGAGATCAACACTTTTCAGGATACCTTGTTTTTGTACAGATGAACTCATCTATTGAATGATTTTTCTTTCTGTCCTATTATGCAGGAAAATAAACCCAGACCTACATGTAATTATCTTGTATGTTTTCCAGGAGGTAAAGCCATTAAATTCTTAATATTG